GCTCTGATTCTCTGCCCTCCCTCCTATACTACTGAGGGGGTGGTGACAGTGAGGATGAGCGGTAGAGAAGGAGGCCTGGGGGCCTACCTCGCCCCCCTCTGCTCCCTGGGAAGCCTGTGCCCCAGTAGTGGGGGGGTGCAGAGAGGCTTGATTCCCAAATTGTAAGCACATTAATAAGCGGGGGAGAGGAGGGGAGCTCCCCCACCTCCCTCCTAGTGGGCTTTGCAAATTGCTTCCTCCTGTAAAAATCTCGACCCTGCTCCATGGAAGAGGGTACTCCCTACCCAGGCTGGCAGGGTGTGGCCATTTGGCAGGGTCTCCCTCCAGGGTCCTTGGGCTGGAGGTGGGGGAGGCAGGCACCATCCCCATCCCACCCGCCCTGCTCTCCCGCTCCCCCGTCCCAACCAGAGCGCCGCCACTTCTAGGGTGGGAGCCTCTGGCAGCTGGAGAACAGCTGGCCCCGCTGTGGGGGTGGGTGGGGAGGAAGGAGGGAAAGGCAGGGGGGCGGGAAGGCTCCCTTAGCCCTTAACTGCTCTCCGCATCCTCAACCCCCTGGCTGGTCAGCCCAGCCCAGGTTTGGGGGCAGGGCATTCAGGACGGAAACTGCTGATTTCACTAATCTTCCCACATTTTGAGCGATGTTCTCACTGCACACTGCAAGAGTGGACAGCTGCTGCCACTAGACCCATGGTCACCCGGCTCAGTTTGTCCTCCCACTGGTCCTGGTGCAGGGGGAGAGGAGGAGGGTCGCGGACACCTGCCTTGCCTTGTGCCTTGTCAGAATCCCCCACCAGGCAGCCGCTTTGGGGAAGCCAGGGTTCAGTCCTTTCCCTCTCCTCCCCACCCCCCACCTTGAAAAGAAAGAAGGCTGAATGGTCCAGAGGCTGCGGGGGCCATGGGGGTGGAGGTCAGGGGCCTCTGCAGCCTGGGCTCCGGCCTCCTTCCCTGGAGCTGTCCGGCCAGTTATTCCAGCAGGTCTGGCCCCAGGGAGGGGAGTGGGCAGCAAGGTGCCCCTTATCTCCCTTCGGGCCCCAAAGCCTGCTCACCCAGACTCCTAGCTCCCACCCCACCACCACCCAGAGGCACCTTCTGACCTGGGAAGGCCCTGGAAGAGGGGAAGCGGGTGTGGCTGGTCAAATAGAGGGTAAAGGCAGAGAGAGACCACAGGAGGTCTGCTGGCTGTCGTAATCACAGGGAAGTGGGCAGGCCTCAGAGAGAGGTGGGGAGCAGATGGGACAGGAATGGAGAGGTCCTGGATGTGTCCCTGTTGTGGCCAACAGCCCCCAGTGGTGGCTCCCTGGTCACTCCCTCCCCTCTAGGTCTGCCCTGGCCCTGGATCTTTTTGTCCTTGGTTCACACATGCAAGCGCACTTGCTCTCCCTGTGTCCCTGTCTCTCTGTCTCTCTCCCTGTTTCTCTTCTGTCTCTCTCTCTTCCCCACCCCCGACTCTTGATCCTCCTTCTGTTTTTTCCCTCCCTCCCTGCCTGACTGTATCTCGATTTATTATCTTTCCCCTTCTGCCCCTTTACCAAACCCTTCAGCTGTGTGTCTCCATCTCTCTCCATCTCGATCTGCCTTTCTGTCTTTCTGCATCTCTGTGGGTCATAGTCACTCTCTCCCTCTGCCCTCTCTGCCCCACTGTCTGTCGATCCGACTCTCTCCAGCACTCTACCTGTTCCAACTGTCTGTCTCTCTGAATCTCACTCCAAGGTTTCCTCTCTAGGTCTCTCTCTCTCTCTCTCCCTTTTTTTTTTTTGTCTCTCACTCTGTGATTCTCCAGTCTCTGTTGTCTGTTTTCTTGCCTATCTCGCCTACTCTTCACCCACCCCAGACTCTGCCCACACCTGTCCCCCTTCCTCTCCTGTCAGTCTGAAGCTCCACCCCCTTTGCCCCTCCCTTGGGTCTTTCTCCCCCTTCTCCCACCCATCATGGTGGCACAGCCCAGCAATGCAGAGGTTCTAGACACCTGGGCCAGCATCAACAAGCATCTAGGGTGCTCTCACCCTCCCAACCCTTCTCCGTAAAGGGCAGATAAGATCCTGAGCTGGGCTGGGGCCCTCTCACCCCGGGCAGCCCCCTCCATCACGCCCACATTTGCCTCAGTCCAGCCCTGCAGCTGTCTGAGAAGCCCGGAGCCTCCTCCCTCCCCCTAGGTTGGGTCCCAGTGGTTTGGGTTCTAAGGAGAGGAGGGCACACACAGGAGTGTGTCCTCATCCTGTGGCAGTAACTCTGGAAAGACCAGAGCAGCCAGTTCAGACTCACCAAGCTGACCCCTCCTGAGTGAAGCGGGAGGACGGAAATCCCAGTGCAGCCCCCAGCCTGGCACAGCTGCCTGCCTGCCATTGCCCACAGGTGTGCCTCGGCCTCGGGGTACTAGTATTCTCACTGGAGTGTCCGCCTGGGCACCCACACAGCATACCTGCACACATGTGCTCCTGTGCGTGGCTGTGTGGGGTGGGGGTCACCTGCGGGTCCCTGTGTTGGTGCATCTGCCCACAGGGGTGTTCCTAGAAAGTGAGTCTTGCATGTGCCTGTGAGCCAGCAGAAGGGACAAGGGACAGAAGGGATGGAAGGGACGGTGGTCCTGCTTCTCTCCTTGACTTGTCCTTGCGGCCGCCCCCTGGGCTCCCCTCCCCCTCACCAGCTGCCAGCGGCCGGCCAGGGGCCGCTGCCCCGCCCCCCCAGTCTGTCCCAGCTCCCAAGCACTGCTGTGTTCGCCATATTTGGCCACAGTGCTCCTGCGGGGGGCGGGGCGGGGCTGACATCACCCCAAGAAGGGGGGGCCACTGCCTGGATGAGGGGAGGCGGGCAGAGACTTGGGGGAGGCAGGAAAGTTGCTCTGAAAAGTCTGGGGCTGCCAGGGCCCCCCATGCGCCGGGCTCTTGCTGCTCTGAGGGAGGCCTCGGGAAAGGCTTTGAGGGGAAATGGGTTGAGGACTCCATCAGGAGGGGTCTTAGCTCATTGTAGCCCCTCTTCTGCCTCCCCTCTGGCAGTGTCAGACCTAGGGGGAGGCCCTGCATCCCAACTACCTCAATGTGGAAGCCATTGGGTCCCCCAGAGTCCCTGCCCCTGCTTTTATACAAGAAGTTGGCCTCAGGAATTGAGGAGGTGATGGGGATAGGGGTGAGTGGAGGAGTGCAGTCCCTCCGACTGGTCAGGGGCATGGCTTCCTCTCTCCCTGGCTGCCCTCTGGTGTGGTGGTCTCGGAAGCCTCACAGGATGGGCTACAGCAGTGTGGGGTCCTTGGAGCTGCCACAGCCACTTGGACTGAGGGGAACCCCCTGCTCTGGACCCCAGTGGGCTGACTCAGGGCGGTTGCAGTGACAGCCTCCTTTCTCAATACAGGTGGTGGGTCTTCTGACTTTGGTTAAGAGACTGAAGCTAATTGCCTGGGTTCAGAACTCGGTTCTAGCACTTACTAGCTGTGAATCCTTAGGCAAGTTGCTTAACCTCTCTGTTCCTTCTATGAAGTAGAAATAATAATAGTATTTACCTCATAGGTTATTGTGAGGATTAAATGAGTCAATGTGTGTAAAATCCCAGAATAGTTCCATCCACATGGCAGTTACTGTCATTCGTAGTAAAACTCTATATCCATCTGACATCCAGGCCCCCAGGCCCTCCCCACCCTGTGCCACTAGCAACCCCTTTCAAGCCTTCCAAAGCAAATAGGTGACCCCCGCAGGGTGGACCCCCACCCATTCGGCAGGACCTGGAATTCATGTCTGAGGGGAAGGAAGTCTTTTCCCTGGCTTCTGAGGGGGTCCCCCACTCTCCACCCTGTTCCCTTCTTTCCGTGTAGCCCAGAGCAAAGTCCCACCTAGCCACCTGGGGCTCTGCAGCTCCCAGGACCCTGATACACATGGGTATGCGGTTCTGAGGCTGAAGGGGGTCGGGGGTGAGCCTTAGGGTTGTGTTTGTTGGGGGACACCAGCTGGGTGTGGTCTGCATTAATAATCCAGCCTGGCGTGTGCAGGGAACTCAGACTTTACAGAGCTGTGGCCCATCCACGATGTGGGCCAAGGCAGAGGTGGGCGTGTGGGTGGTTTATGGGCTGCTGTTGGGCCAGGAGGTGCGGGAACAAGAAATAACATGGAGGAGCGGGTGGGGTTGAGCAAGGCTGTTGACCAGGCACCTTCTCAGCTGCTCCTTTACCAGCCAGCATTGCTCCCTTCTTGAGATTCCTGGAGAGTTCCTGCCCCACGTTTAGTAGGTTCCTTGGCAAGGTTCTTGTGAGTCATCTTTTGGGGAAGGCAAAATTGTGCCCTTCCTGGGTCTGGGACCCTTCTCACCCCACAGCCAGTTGGTCCTCAGCAGGGTTACACTGATGCTGGAGGGAGGAGGGGTCCCTGGTTGGGAATCCTGATGACAAGCAGGAGGCACTCCTCTGAGAGCTGCAGAAATGCTGGGCCCTGCCTGTCATGTTCCTCCTTTCTGCTCATCATGGTGCAGCTGCATGGCCTTGTGAGCCTCTGTTTTCCTCATCTGAATAATGGGCACCATTCTTTGTCTCTGCCTTAGTTTTGAGGATTGCATGAGCATGAAAATGCTTTTTCCCCACAGAAGTGCTGTGCAGGTATAAGGCATTGTTATTGTTGCTATTGCTCACCACCAGTACTGTCTTGAGTGTGATGAGCCACACACTGTGGTGGCACTTTGTTTTGATCTCATTAAATTTTAACCCCTACAACCTCACGGAAACCCTTCCTTCGATTTACAAACCGAGACTCAGAAAGGTGAAGTAGCTCATCCAAGGTCACAACAGCACTGACTAAACATAATCTCTGGTTGCCTCCACCCAACCCTGGAGCACAAGCCCTCTGGGGTGGGTGATTGCTGTGGTCTGGGTGGACCCTGGCCCTAACCCATCTGCATCTGCCCTCCACTCCAGGCTCAGGCTGCCCAGTGGGCTCAGGCCCAGAGCCCAGAGCAACCAGCACAATAGCGTCCAACAGCTGGAATGCCAGCAACAGCCCCGGGGAGGCCCGGGAGGATGGGCCCGAGGGCCTGGACAAGGGGCTGGACAACGATGCGGAGGGTGTTTGGAGCCCGGACATCGAGCAGAGCTTCCAGGAGGCCCTGGCCATCTACCCACCCTGCGGCCGCCGCAAGATCATCCTGTCAGATGAGGGCAAGATGTACGGTGCGTGTGGGGAGGCACAGGGACCCGGACTGGACTTGGGAGGAGGCCTGGCCCTCTCCGGCCCCTCCCCCTGCTCTCTGCCCCCTCACCCAACCGGTTTGGCGAAGTCCTGTGAGGCCGCCAGCCCTCCTCGCGCGGGGCGAGTCTGGGCGTGCAAGCCTGTGTGTCTGGATCCTCCTCATAAACAGGCCTGGCTTACCCCCTCCACCAGCACGCAGCCACACGACACCCCGACTGCTCCTCCTCTCCTCGCCCCTGCTGGCCTGAGGTTTCAGGGTGACTCAGTGGGCCCAGGAAACTGGGTCAGTCCAGTGCACTCTAGGCTGAGCCTGGGAGAGGGTCCCTCTCCTGGAGGATGTGGTGTGAGGCCTGGGATGGGAGTCCCAGCACAGAGCAGGGTTTCCCACTGGCGAGTTCCCTCCAGTGTCTGGGGGCAGGGCGGGGCTGCAGGTGGTGGGAGGCCCACACTGTGATGGGCCTGCGCTGGGAAGGGGGCTGGAAAGATGAGGGGACGCCACTCCTCAAGCCCCCTTCCCAAGTCTCTTGCTCTCCTGGCCCCTCTTTGCCACCTTGCCACCTCCTGCCTCCAGAAAGGAGTGTCCTCCTCTGGTCCAGCCCTGAGCGGGCTCTCCCAGGGCTGCATTTTTGGGATAACTCAGCCCTTCTGGACTTGGCTTCTTGCCAGCTCCCTCCAACCCTCCCTGACAGCCTATGGCTGAGTGAGGCAAGCCCTCAGCCTGTCCCCTTCCACTGTCCATCCATTACGGAGGCAATGGCTGGGTGCAGGAGGGAGACAGCTGGTAAGGCTGCCCCATGTCCCTGGCCCCCACTCACTGTGCCACACCCACCCCAGCACCAGAGCCCCACTTGCAGGGCAGGCAGATGTTACAGGGTGCCTTCCACAGGGCAGGGGCCGCCTGCCCCCACTGCTACCTCCCAGATGGCTGGGGCAGCCCCACAGGGTATTTTTAGACAGGGCGGAGGGAGAGGGGTGGAGAGGGGCAGGGAGGAAGGGAGGAGCAGTGGGGCTGGTTCTGTCATGGAAGAGGAATTTGGAGAATGTGGTGTTCTTGGGAGGCTACAGGGTTGGGGGGCAGGGGGCCTGAATTTGGGGATGAGAGGTGTACACCCTGAGGATGCTGACACAGGCATCACCATGTGTCCCAAGCATCCCCTTTACGGGGCCAGCTTCTGGGTCCCTGGTGCTGAGCAGAGCCCACCACCCCCAGGCTGACAGTCTGGGCTCTCTCTCATAGGGTGGGAGAGATACTGGTAACCAGTGACATGGAGGTGACAGGCTCAGGGACACAGTGATACATCCTGACACAGGCTGTCAGTGTAGGAGGCATGTTGGAGACCATTTCCTGTTTCCCCAGAGAAGGGAAGGGACTTGTCCAGGGTCTCCCTGTGGCAAGGCCAGCTGGACTGGAATCCAGTCCAGAACGCTCACAGACACACACAAGGACGTGTGCCGAGACTTCTGTCTCCTGAGGCAGGCCTCGCACACACACGAACCCTTACACTAAGAGGTTTGGAGCTGGTGATGGTGCAGGGAGGAAGGCAGCACCACCAGGGGCTAGGGGTGAGGGGCCCAGCTGTCCTGCCACCCTCCAGCCACAACTGCCCCTGTCTGTCTTGCCCAGAAACCTGTCAGGCCACCTGACACTGTTCCACCCTCCCTCCTCCTGCTGTACTGCCCCTCTCCCAACATGCAACCCCCACTACCCTCCCAGGTCCTGGAGTCGCCATCCACCACCACCCTTCACTGGCCCTGCCTGTGCCCCTGGGCAGGTTGGGGTGAAGAGAAGGGAGAGGGAACAGACGAGCAATGTTTGGGGGAGGGGCCTGGTGTGATCTCCAGCTGGTGTGGGAGGGGGTCTCTAGCCACCAGCTCCCCTCTTTGCCCACTCCCCAGTTTTTTCTCTCACCCGAATCTAGGTCGAAATGAGTTGATCGCACGCTATATTAAATTGAGGACAGGGAAGACTCGGACGAGAAAACAGGTAAGAGATGATTTATGCTGCAGCCCCCTCTCTCAGTCCGCTCCCCTCCTCTCCAAGGTGACTTTACACTCCCCCAAGCTGCCCCATCACTCTTCCCACTGTCTTAGAGAAAGAGGCACTGTTCCCTCTGACCACTCCTACCCCTGCTCACCCCCCAGGCCTTTGGTTCAGTGACCACAGATAAGCCCCACTGGGCAGCCCTGGCAGTGCAACTGTGTGGTCATTTCCCTGAGTGGCCAGGGAAAGACAGGCAGTTGGACAGATGAGTGCAGAGCAGGGCTGCATGGCTGAGATAGGGTGTGTACTCTCTGACAAGCATCTAACCCAGACCAGGTAGGGGAAGGGAAGAGGGAGGGCTGGGAAGGCTTCCTGGGGGCAGTGACACTCACAGTGGATTTTTAAGAAGGAATAGGATTTAGCCAAGCAGAAAAATGGAGAGGACTCCCCCAGGATTAGGAAGTTGGCTGTACAAATAATAATTGTGAACCCATACAAAGCCTACTTTAATTTATTTAATCCTTGTAGCAACCTTCCAAAGTAGGTACAGTAATTATCTCCATTTTACAGGTGAGGAACTGAGGCACAGGGAAGTTAAGTAACTTCCTAAGGTCACTCAGCTGGTAGGTGGCAGATATAGGATTCACCCCCACTGGGCAGGAAAGAGCCTTCATTTAGCAGCATGGTGCGTGGAGGGGTGGGAAAAGCCAAAGGCGGTGAGAAATTTGGCCTGAGGCCTGAGGGACAGGTTTCCCTAGGGGGCAGCTGGGGGCCATGGAAGAGAATAGATCAGGGAGTGGCTGTGGCAGCTGTCAAGGAATGTTGGCCCTGGGGCACCCGAGGCAGTGGATCAGAGAGGGCCAGGTGGAGGTTGGAGGTCACAGTGGTGGGTGAGGGTAGTGGGGGTGGGGATGGAAGAAACTGGTGACTCCAGAGATGATTGGGTGGCTTTCAGTCCGGGGAGGAAACCTGAAGGGAGCCATTAGGGTGGGATGCAGTGCGTGTAGTTTCCCGGGGAGAGGCAGGCTGGAGGCAGGTACCTGGAGAAGGGAGGCCAGCTCTGGCCCTCAGCCCCCAAGCCTCCCTGTCTGGGTGGGGTTTGGACCTTGCACCCACCGCCCCCAGATCCCCACTGTGCATATGACAGCCCTGACCTGTCCCACCCCACTGTCTCAAAGGAAGGTCCTGTGTCCACCCACCCAGTGTGGGAGCAGAAACGCTCCCTCATTGTTCAGGCCTTTATTAACCACTCCCCCTGGGCCAGCTCATGTACAGCATTTATTCACTTAGCAAATTACTGAGCTACTACTATGTTCTAGGCTCTAGGGATACAGCAAGGAACCGGACAGACAAGGGCCCTGTTCCCTGGAGCCTGGGGCCATAGGAGGAATACTGACTGACCAGCCCCCAGGTTCAAATAGGGTTCAAATACCTACTCCACTGCCTGTGGGAAGAGGGTATCTCACCTCCCAGCTGCTGTTCCCCAGCCTTCAGTTAGCTCTTAAGTAGGACGGGGTGAACACTAGAAGAACTGGCCACTGCTCTTGCTACTGTCATTACTACTGTCGTCAACAGAAAGCCATCCCAGGCACAGGAGTAGGGCACTCTCTCAGCTTGTCCCGCTTCACCCAAAAGATAGGTGTGGACAGGAACCTGTTTGTCAGGGGAAGGGGCTGAGGGATCTTTGAGCTTGACCAGGAAGGGTAGCAGAGCCTCTTAATTCTGGGTCAGCATTATACCTGCTTCTGGCCGGGTATCCTGAGAAGCCTGGCTGTACCATGGATGAGGTTTTACAAACCAGCTGATGGTGAGCTCAGGATTTTAAAAACCTCTGGCCTTCATCATTTTGCAAGGGTAGCACTCTAACTTTATTCTTTCTTAGAACTCTGATGTCTAATGTCTCCTTAAAGGGGGACCCATCCTCTGGTTGTGAGGACAAGGCATGTGTTTATGTGTCTCAGGAGCAACCAGCTGACATGCAAGGTTTTTTGATTGTTTTTGTTTTACTTTCGGTTAAGAAAGAATCTCTTTTGGGGAGGGGTAGTTATGTTTATTTATTTATTATTGTTATTAATTTTTTTAATAGAGGTACCAGGGATTGAACCCAGGGCCTCGTGCATACTAAGCACTGCACTCTACCACAGATCTATAACCTCCCCGCTATTTCACTTTCGGTTAAAAAAATGCAGTTTTTGTTTTTTTACGGCTACATACCAAACTTAATAGCAAGAAAAATGCCTCCGTATTGAAAACACAGCTAAGTATTAGGATTGAGTCCCATGTGACTTTAGCTGTCACAGATTTGACCATTTGGAGATGGTCCTCTGGGCTAAGGGTCCAAAAGAGTCCTGATAGCACAGCTTGGTGGGGGCCAGGTGGGCTCTGGAGCCAGGCCACCTGGGTTCAGCTGTGTGACCTTGGAGAAACTGCTTAACTTCTCCGTGCTTTGGTTTCATCATCTGTAAATTGGGAATAATATTAGTGCGGACTTCTTAGGGTTGCTGTAAAAGTCCAATGAGTTGGTACACACAGAGTGTCAGGAACAATGGTAGATGTGCTCAGTAAACATCAGTTATTGTCCTGATGTGAGGTGATCAGGAATCTTGCTGGACGTCTGTCTGATTCCCATGCACCCTGAGGGCATGAGGAGCACCCACCTGGGCCCTAAGCAAGTATTACGGGTGTGCCCAGCACCCCATACCTCGTAACTTTTAGTCCATGATTGAAAAGAAAAAGAAACTGTTTCTTTGTGGAGATAAAAACAATCTGCAAAGAAAGCCAAGGCAGTTGCTGATAATCAAAGTGTGAAGCAGCTTGGAGGGTCCCTGTGTTCCCTCTGCCCGGTTTCATGGGGAAGGCTGACATTTTGGTTCTCTGAGGCTCAGGGTTAGATCCTTGACAATGTCAAGAGTCTGTGTGTAAGCCCATGGCGCACACATCCAGACCGTGACCAGCTCCGGTTTGCCAGGAGAGGGAGACATCAGGGAGGAGGAGCTGGAGAAGAAATGCAACTAAGAGCACCTACTGCATACATACGTATAGTGTATACTGCCCTGTGCTAGTCCGAAGAGAAGGAAGCTGCTTGAGCAAAGCAAGAGTCAGACCAGGCCTAGGTTCATGGGCCAGCCCGCTGGACCTGGGCAGGAGGGGACACAAGGGAGATCGTTCATAAAGGCTGTGACCTTGCTGTGTCTCTGGTAGCTGGCAGGAGCACGATGGCCTTTGCTAGCTGCTGTGATGCCAATTAGGAGAAAAATAGTCTCCTCTGAGTTTACCAGTGAGAAAAAGTCACCCCTTTTTAGAAAAATATAGATGCTCTTCCTCTGTATTTTTTTTAACCTGTCATCTTTTATTGGGTGTTCATTCTCAAATAGGATATGAAAGGGTTCAGGGGTGCCAGGCAAAGGTCATGGTCAGGAACACAGAGTGTGCCCTCCACACTGGGCCCTCTTTAGTGGTACTTGCTCAGTTTGAATTCCTTGTAAGAACAGCGGTTGAAAAACATGTAGGCTGCCAGCACCATGGAAAGCCCAGCGATCCCCCTTTCTTCACAGGGATGTACTTGTAACACTGGTACTAACCTCTTTGAAATGCTCCAGCAATGCCTTTAGGGGTGAAATCCCACATCATGTCCAGCGTGACAGCTCCCCTATTTGACATCTCATCTTCCTTCAGTGGTACGACTGATGCCACCTTGGATTCCCAGGTCTCTCTTCCTCCAGTTTAGATGCAGCCCTGTGTCAGGGCACATAGCTTGACCCAGAGCTTGGGCTGGATTTTAGCCCTCACTGGGCCAGGTGCTCTTATGCAGTAAACAACCTGGACAACTGTACACGGTGGTACAGTGGTAGGCTCTTGATCAAAATAGGGCCAAGAAGAGAGCAGAATTGGCAGTGCCTAGGGGTTTCTGCCCACAGGGGCCCCACAATTCCCCCCACTTACATTTGGCCCCACAAATGAGGGCTGGGATGCTCTTGGCCCATGGCTACCCCCAGGCTATGCCTCCTCACTATCTGTGTTTTCCTCTCTGGCCGGGCACGGGGCGGCCCCTAGGTGTCCAGCCACATACAGGTTCTAGCTCGGAAGAAGGTGCGGGAGTACCAGGTTGGCATCAAGGTATGTCGGGAGCCTGACTGGGGCCTCCAGCCCGTCCTTGGCCCCTCACCCACATCACCTCCACCACTGTCTACATAGCTCAGGCCTCTGCCTTGGCTGGCTGTCCAGCCCAACTGTGCCTCTTTTCTGGATGAAGCTCTGTTCTTGCCTCTTCCTCTGCTCTTTTTCTCTTTCTTTCTCTCTCTCTCTCTCTCTCTCTCTCTCTCTACAGGTCTCTAGCCACTTGCAGGTTCTAGCCAGGCGGAAATCACGGGAGATTCAGTCCAAGCTGAAGGTATGGGGTCCCCTGCCACTTGGCCTGGCCTTGCCCAGACCTGATGTTGCTTTCTGACCCCAGCCCGGGGCAGGGAAGGGGCTGAGGAGCTAGAGGGGCAGCAGGACATGCGTCTCAGAAGTACAAGTGGCAGAAGCCCAAAGGCCACTTCAGGTCACAGCCCCTGGAGGCTGAGTAGGAGCCCAAGGGGACAGCCAGCCCTACAGTGAGGGAGAGGAAGACCACCTGGGGCCACTAAGGCCCACCTCTCTGCTTCTCCATTTTCCTTTTCTGCTTCCTCCTAATTGCTGCTTGCTAATTGCATGGGGACTTCAGGTGGGCGAGGAGGAGTCA